GGCAGCCACCTCCGGCTCGCTAGCCCTGCTAGCCCTGAAGGTGCAAACAGAGCAGCTGCATTAGAGGTGTCCCAAGAGCCTGCCAGAGGTAAAGCAGGGTCCGCACAGAGGAACTGCCGACCGTGACGGCGCAGAGCTGCCAGTCCTTTAGACCAGGCGAGGACTAAACCCAGGGCTGGGGGCCGACCTCCTGGGAGGAACCGGCTTTGTCTTACAGGACAGTAACAGAAATGAAGTTTTCCCAATTCTGTAGTCGGTCCAACACCCGGGAAGGATCAGTACCCACCCTAGGGACCTACTCACCAGAGTAGCTGAGGGGGCTTTGCCCCACGGAGGAAAGGCATCAGCTACTCCTCGACTCTCTGTGTTACTGGCAGAAGCCCTTTCCACAACAAAGGCAGACCGGTGTGAGGCAGGGAAGGGCAGCTTCAGCACAGGAAAAGACTTCCGCTCCTGTTCTGCTGCTTTGCTAAGGCTCCCCTTTGATCCCCGGGGAAAGGGACAGTTTGGCAGCTGGAATGCTATTGTGTGCCTCTCGCTGTACGTAGCTGCTAAAGGCTGGGCTGAGAGCTTGGGCGAGTTTAACCACGCAGAGAACAGAGCTGTGCCCTAATGGGCAGGTAAGAATTTGTCACTGCTGGGAGAACAGCTTCAAGCAAGAAGGGAACGAAAAACCCATTTCCATGTACCAAAAGTGGACGGTGTTGAGTTTTTGTTGTAGGTAAAGTGCCACCAACCTCAGGGGCTTGAGACAGATCCTGCCTCCTCTGTGGAAACCTTCCTGTTCCTCCTCTCTCCAGATTTCGTGTCTGTGCTATTCCTTGACTGGCAGCCTCGCTGGTTAAAGTCAAAGGCAGAGGCAAACTCTTAACACCCGGGTTCCCAAAGAAATCCTTCGGCACTTTCCAAAGCGCTAACATGTGCAAGTTAAAGGATCCATCAAAGGAGGAAGAAGCCAGAAACAAACTTAGAGTCAAATGTTTAATAACTTTCCAAGAGGGAATATTACATCCATAGAGAGGCATATATAAAACAAGAGATGGAAAACAAGGAAAGGGAAAAAAAAAAAATTGGTATCTTCAAGAGGGCACACTTAACCCCGTAATTCCTGCTACCCCTCGTCAGAGGCACAGCGGCCGCTCAGAGCGAGCCCCCTGCGCAAGGCGAGCTCTGGTACCAGGCCACTTGCAGCGCTCAGGCTCAGCGCTGTGGGAAGAGCTTGGAAAGCTCCGACTCCGTACAACTCGCCCACCAACACGGTCACAGTTATATGGTTAATTGTGTCCTGTCCAGGAGACTGATACCAGACGAATCAAAGTTACCCTAGGCGAGTCGATCTAAAACTTGGTCTCAGTGAGGCCTTCTCCTCCACCTGCTTTTGTC